CACCCCCCACCCTTCCTCCTACTCCCCATCCCATCCACCCACCAAACCTGTGAGACTCAATCCCTAAGCCTAGAATTCGGTTGCCAGGAAAGTTAATAGGCCCGTGTGTTTCCTCATCTGTGAAATGGAGATACTGAGTTCTTTCGTGAAGTTACTATTTAATTGGTGTTGTCAAGTGACTAACCCAAGTCCTGCTGCTTGATTTATTTCTCTACTGGAGCCGTTATTTATTCATATGCCCCGAAGGCCTAGATGAACAAGCCCTGGGATTATGTTCTTTATCTCCCGCTCATCAACTAATGAGAGTCCCCACTTTAAGGAGGATCCTCTAACTCCACCCTAGGTTAGGATTTGAAGAGCAGAGAAACTCCAGGGTGCAATGAAATGTTTGCAAGTTATAAGGACTTTAGAGTTTACATATTACAATTAAGCGCAAAATACCGTGCCCATTTTACCCACTGTGGAAGTTCTAAGTTCCCTTCCTTCCTCTTCAAAGCGAACTCTTAGAGAAAGACTTTTGCATTGTTTAGACTTATTGACAGTTGAAATGACAGTCTTGTGTTTTTGTTGGACTTGGGTTTAAGCTTTTCCACTAGACCCATTGGTATATTAATTTGAACCTTCTTTTCTGAGAGCAGAAAAAAAATAAAAACTAAATTTCCACAAATATTTGTGCTTAACTTTTTATCTCCCTAGGTACACATAATAACTGGTCGGATGAAGATGTATGAGAAATTTTTAAATTTTATTTTTAGAAGTGTACTAAGAAGGTTGGGAATCTCTCCTAGCAGTGCTTAAGAATCTTTGTGGCTTTGTCATCTTCTGGCTGAACTGTTGCTACAGTTTTGCCATAGGTATTAAGCTACTGTTTTAAACAACCCCAGGCATATGCAAAGGAAATTTACCAAGGTTATCACAGTATCCTTCAAATGTGACTCACACTATGAAGTGCTTTAGTCCACAGAGTTGAAACGACGAGAATACCATTAGAATGTTTCCATTGGCCACAGCACTTTGTAATTTTAAACAAAATATGGTGGAGAACTTCACCTCAAAGGTATACACATAGAGAGATTAGTTCTGAGTTTCGAGACTTTGCTACTTACAGGTGAGGACCTTGGACCCAGCAAGTCAATTAGCAAGTGCCCACATGTGTGCCTCTGCCAGCATTATCAAAATTGGGCAGACCTGTGAGTAGCAATAATGAGTCTACTCTTAGAGTTGGAAGCTTCAATTCCCCTCTACAAGAAATTGACCAGAAAAACAGGCAGAAAAACAAAAAGGACATGGCAGAACTCAACAACACCAGTATAGCTGGCAAGAGTGGAACCCTCTCACAACAGTAGAATATACCTTTTTCTCAGGCCCATACAGACCATTCACTGAAATAAACCACTTTCAGAGCCATAAAATGGCACAGTAGTTAAGTGTTACTAGAATGCTGTTGGAGTTGGTGGACTCTAGCATGCCCTTAGATACTCCTGTAGGATTATTTCTGTTAACTCCACCCATGAAGAAGACAAAGAGGGGGAGTTAGAGTCTGTTTCCCGTGCTTCGTAATGCATTTCAGTTTCCATATTCTCAGATGTGTGATTTATGGTTTATATTATCAAATGTTAGCCAGAATAGCCTTCTCACTTAGAAAAGCAACTTCCAACATGCCCTGTACATCAGAAATATTCACTGAAGATGATTATAGTAGGAGTAATTCCAGAAAACAAGATGGCAGCACTGACTACCCCTTTACCTAAGGATACACACATACATAAGCAATGTGTGAAAGACACTCAAAGGAAAAAGTGCTATCAGATAAAAGCCAGTAACAACAACAAAAATCTAGAAAGTATTGAGAATACTAGTTGAAATACAGCCTTATATACACCCCTATAATATTTTGTCACTCTGTCAGCTGATGATATTAAATCGTTATGCCTAGTAAAGTATTTAAAATGCTCCCCTTTAATCTCAGCACTCAGGAGGAGGAGGAGGAGGCAGACTGATCTCTATGAGTTCGAGGCCAGCCTGGTCTACAGAGTGAGTTCCAGAACAGCCAGGGCTGTTAGAGAAAACCTTGTTCTCCCCCCCCCAAAAAAGAAAACAAACAGAATGCTTAGTCCAAGCCAGGTGATGGTGGCGAACACCTTTAATCTCAGCACTCAAAGGCTTAGATAGGTGGATCTCTATGAGTTTGAGGCCAGCGTGGACTCCACAGAGTGAGTTCCAGGATAGCCAGGGCTATACAGAGAAACCTTCTCTTGAAAAGAAAAAATAATAATAGTAAAAATAATAATTAAAAAATAAAGTAAAATCTTATTCCAATTATATGGCATTCTTTTAAATATTTATGCATACCATATTTATAAATCTTTTTTTTTAAATTTTGTGCTCTCTATTTTAATAAAATTGCATAAGCAAAATCTTTTCAGAATCTCTCCACTGAAGAGTAAAGTATGTAGACTGGGAGCAGAGTGTAGCTCAGGTTGACAGCTCATACTCCAGCAAAGTCATGGATGTGGTCATGACTTTCACAGTCATGATGGCTCAGGATGGGTCAGTCAATCACTACCTGGAATGGAACATTTGAAAGTAGGTTACATCATCCAGGACCAAAAAACAGTAAGATAACAGTATACATGAAGGAGAACAGTTAAAAGTAAGAAGGCTCACCATACCAATTCTTAGCAATGAGTAATTAAATTTGTCATGTGCTGTTTACTGGCAGATAAGGCGCTACTGCTGGGAAGTGGCTCAGCGGTGGCAAATACAAACAAATTCCTATCATGTGACAGGGCATTTTACTCCCAGGATTTAAAAATCTGTGTTCAACAGAGACATATACATGAGTTTTTATAACTGGGTGGTTTTATTGTTTGTTTGTTTTGCTGATTTTAGATTTTATTTATTTTTATTTTACTGATATTTGTGTGTATTAGTGTTTCCCTGCATGTATGTCTGTGTACAATATGCATGCAGTGCCTACAGAAAGAGCCGTTAACTGCTGAACAACCATCTCTCCAACTCTTCCATTGCTGCATTGTTGGTAATAGCCAATAAATGGACACAACCAAAATGCCCTTCAGTTAAATTATGGCATAGTTATTATCTAACTGAATATTTCTCAGCAATGAAATACATGAAACCCAGGTGAATCTCAAAGTAATTATACTTTGTAAAGCTAGGCCAAAGAGAAAACAAAAACTGATATTTGTATGGTAGTTATATGATATTCTAAAAAGTTGAGTTTTTGGCCTGGACACATGGGGAAGGGCCTAGGCCTGGCCCAGGATGATGTGGTAGACTTTGGGGAGCCCCTTTTGAGGGCCTTACCCTGCCTGGGGAATGGAGGGGGAATGGCTAGGGGCAGGTGGGATGTTGGGGGGAGGGGAAGGAGGGATTGACATGTGAAGCAAGCTTGTTCCTAATTTGAACTAATAAAATAAAAAAAAAAAAAAAGTTAAGTTTTTGGAGTTAGAGATGTTTGGAAATACCTGGAGGAAGCAAAAGGATGGGTTATAAGGGCATAAGGAACTTGGAGTGTGAGGGAAATGCTTGTCTTTATTTCAGTGTGCGTTTTATCATGTGCACATATATATCAAGTCATAAATTCATGTACTTTAAATGTTTGTCAACTCTATGCATTATATGTTAATGGAGCTATAAAAATAACTTGAGTTATGAAAGTCTTTATGAAGTGCCTATTAATGTACCTATCATAGAAATAGGCATAATTTGAGGGATTATTAACAGGAGGCAAAGGAAACTAATTGACATTTCTGGGTTGAAGGCTTATACATAACTTTTCATTTGCCCTATTATGCAAATTAATATTGTTATTATTACATATAGTATTCACAGGTACAGCTCTGATAAATATAGATAATTAAAACAAACATCAGTCCAAGCATAGTTCCAGCAGTTTTCTGTATTGCTTTAGAACTCTGTCCAGTGTCTCCCTAGGAACTTTGCTGTGATTATCAGCTTCTCTTACCTTTTTGTTTGTTTGTTTTCTTTTTAACTGGACACTGCACTTGGGATTGATTCCCTTGCTGGGACTAATGGGAGAGACAATTATCAGCATTGCATTCATCTTACATGTCTGTTAGAAAAAAAGATGAAGACATAGTATTTGAAATCACAGAGACCTTTACTCAGTGGTTTTGTAATTCTTTCTCTTCAAGTTTATCACAGTGGTTTTCACAGGAATTGTTTCTTTCACTTAAGTAGGGCTTTTGTTTTGTTTGTTTTTTTTCCTGTTATACAGTAGTTCCCAGAGTGATATTGAATTTGAAACTTAGAAATACATGGACTCTAACCAAGACTCTGCAAATGAGGGCTTCTTGGGACATAGTCTACCTGTCTGGACTCTTTATGGTACTTATTTTACAGTATATCTTTTATTTGCTCATGGCAACAAAATATATCTACTGCTTATAATTGGATGCTAAAATCTGGGCCAGGTATTTATCTAGAGGAACAAATGATATTTGGTCTCTTACCTTCACATTATCTCTGATAATGTGATAGCTATTGAAAGAAATCCTATCAAAAGCATACATATTTAAAAATTACAAATTATGATAATAAAACATAGATAGGATAGGAAAAAGGATAATGGGTAAAGTAAGAACAGGTAGTTTAAGTTTCGTATTTCTTAGGAGTTCGTCAAGCAAGAGGTATGTTAACTGACCCCTGAAGAGTGAATGCTATAGAGAAATAAAAGATCCCACAGAGAATGTTTTCAGAGATAGAGAATGAATGCATGTCTGGAGGAAAAGATGTGGACAGAGCTAGAATCTAGTAGCTCTAGGTTGAACATGATAAAACACACATGTGAAAACACAACAGGACACCCATGACTCAGTAGCATGTATAGGGACAGCCACAGCCAGTCTAATATTGGAGAAAAATTTAGGAACATGAGCTTTGTTGACGTGAACCCTCTACTTTAATAGACAATCCAGAGTTGGTCTCCAATTCTAACTCTAACCATTGTCAACAGGAAAAAAAAATCAGGTTTAGGAATTCTTGTGTCTATTGATTTATGCTTAGGAACCATGGTAAGAATTTATAAACAATAAGTCCTAGGCTGAATGTGGAATGTATCATTCCGAAGATCTCTGAAATCATCAGTTGCAGAGGTCTTTCAGGACTTTCCTAACAAA